TGGCTCCTTCCTGGGCTGGGCCTCTGGTGGCTCTTCCACCCTTTCAAAGGCCTCCAGGTCATTCTTTCTCCAGTCTTCTTGATTTAAAATCAGAAAAGATCAAAGAAAAGAATCCAGAAGGAAGAGCCAGCCATGTCCTCACAGCAGTTCAGGTGGGAAGGGTGTGAGGCTTCTCTCCCCACCCTGATGGAGGCTGACCACATTTCTTTCCCTGGTCATCACCATCACCATCACCACCACCAGGGATCACCGGCAATCATCACCAGTGAAGAGAGAACTCACAAGGCCCATCTCTCGGTTAGAGTCTTTTTGCTTGCACTCTCATTTCTGATACAGCAGCCAGTTACTGATAACGACCACCACCACCATCACAAGAGCTAGCCCCTCCTATGTGCGGGGCACTGTGCTCAGCACTGGGGACACAAAGAAAGGCAAGCACAGGCCTGCCCTTGAGGAGCTTACAATTGCACGGAGGAGGCAACGGGTAGACAAACAGATACAGAGCAGGCTGTGTGCAGGATAATTACGAGGTGCCTGCCAGAGGGAGGGTGCTGGAATCAAGATGGGGTTTGGAGCTAATGCGGTAAAGCCCTTTGTAAATGCTAGAGAGATCCCGGGAAAGCATTTGAAAAGCTAGCATGTGGAAGAGACTAGGACGCCATGGGATCATTGATTTAAAGCTGACAAGGTCCAACCTTTCATTTTACAGATGAGCAAGCTGAGGCCAGAGACCTGACATAAGGGGGCGTGCCTACATCCCGCAAGGAGTAAAGTGGAGAGCCGGGGGTTCCAAGGACTCTCTGCCTCTGTGGTGGGCAGACGCCAGAGCTAGGAAGGGAGAGGAAGAAGGTAAGCTCGTGTGACAGGTAAAGACCATTCCCAACAAGTACATCTGTCCGAGGGGAGGGGCTGGGCAGACTTGGAGGGAGGCCTCCTCTCACTGGGGGCCTTCCCGTTGAGGCTGGATGCCACTAGTTGGGCTTGTAGGAGAATGGGCTTCCGTTAAGGACCGGGTTGGATTGGACAGACTGTCTGGAGTGTTCTGCTGTTACTCTGACTCAGTCTTCCTGCTTTAAGACCTAGAAAGGAAAATTTGTGGTCCAGGCTGTGTCTTGTGTCTGAATATCCAAATCACTTCACAGCAGAGGACACAGACTGATGCCCCCTCTGATGCCTGGGCTCAGGGGGGCCGCCTTCCCAGAACAGAGGGGGCCCAGAGACATGCTGATGATGACAGTCTGGGAAGGAGCAAAGGCCCCGGGCTCCACACGCGGCTCAGCTTTCTGATGCCATGAAGTTCACAACTCCAGGAAGGGCATCAAGGCTAACCTCTTCATCTGGCAGAGGAGGAAACTGAGGCCCAGAGAGGTGAGTCACCTGCCCAGGGTCACCAGCCAGGAAGCCTCAGACACACAATTTGAATCCAAGTTCTTGACACAGAATACCATTGTGTCTCTCCAGTACGGGGCAAGCTGACTGTGCACAGACTCCAAGCCTTGTTATTTAAAAAACCAAGGTTCATTTTGAAGGGCCTCCACCCTTAGAAGGGCCTGGCCTCCTCAAGAGTTTTATTAGTCATGTGGTGTGCAGAGCGGATTTGTGGAAGACAAACTCTAGAAGCTGATAGGCCTGTCTCATGGAGGAGGAATTCTTCTGGTCCTGCTTGGCCACAGAGGGTCTATGTGCCCGTGCCCTGGCACCAGGAAGGCCGTCAGCAGGCAGAGGACTCTCCTGAAAACAAGCAAGGCTGACCGAGGTGGTCCTGGCCCAGGAGGCAGGAGGAAGCATTCCATCAAGGCTTGGAATTCCACGATAGCCATCAAACCCCAATTCAGTGACTGAGCAAGAACGGTAAAGCCAGACCCCAAAACAGTCATGTTAGAGGGTGAGCTCCTTGACAGCAGGGACTGTTTTGGGGACCTCTCTTTGTAATCCCAGAACTTACAGTATAGTGCCTAACAAACAGTGAGGGCTTAATCAATGCTTGATGATGACGAAAGCCACACCTATGGGATTTCATTTCAGAGTTCGAGGTGCTAACTAGCAGCAAGCAGCAGATGAAGAAAGCCTCTGAGGGTGAGTGGGCCCCAGAAACGGCTGACAGGCAGGGGAGGGGAGACTGCCTCCCGAGGGACAGCTGGCTCGGCCTCCTTCTAACAGGATGGTCTTTATCTGCAGCCTCAAGTATTGCCCCCTGATTGTCAGACAGTAGGAAGGCCCCTGCTGATGCGGGGCTGGAGCTTGGGAGAGAGACTGAGGGTGGGGGACATGGAGACCCCGGAGTCATCTGCATGGAACCGTGGGAGACAGAGGGGAGCACAGGCAGGAAGGCCTGGCCTGGAATAGACCACCAGGGTGCCATGGAAGGCAGTTAACATGTCTCTATCCTCACCTCATTCTGGAGAGAGGGCTGGATTTGAAGTGCGGCTTGCACTGATTTGCTGTGCGACCCTGAACAATTCATTCCACTGCTCGGTGCCTCAGTTTCCTGATATGTACAATGCAGACAATCACACTCCCAGGGTGTGGTCAAGGTGGGCATTTTACCCAACTATCCCAGTGTGAGTGGTGTTGTCTCAGTGAGCATTTGAATGGGGAATCCATTCTGGAGAGACTATAGTGTTGGAGGTCGGGCCCGGAGGGGGCCCTTCCCGAGGAGCAGGGTGAAAGGTCCTCGAAGGCAGGGCCGGTCTTTTATCATCTGGGTGTCCGCGGTGCCTGGCACAGCGTCGGGCACACAGGAGCCAGGTAAGCTGCGCTTCCCGCCTTCCTCTAACATCCTCCAGGACCAAGGAGAAGCAGCCCAGAATCTCAGAATTCTGCAGAATTTGGAAAGCGCTTGGAGCCAGCCCCCACGCCTCAGGACAAGTTGTCACCTGCCTAGCTCCAGGGCCAGCTGGGAGAGGCCCAGAAGGCAGCCCAGGCCCCTGGAGGTAAGCCCTCCTCCCGGATCTCTCACCCCAAGGTCCTGCCTGAAGGTCCTCTAGGGCCGAGGGAGCTGGGGGACAGGAGGAGAC